ATTTATTAAAGACCCGGAGTTACATATTTCTAGTTTTAAAAGCCCAAAGTGGAAACATTAAAACCGATGATAGAGTTGATCTTGCACTGGGGGACCTGACTGAAGATAGGTTGCAGTGTGTGTTACACGTGAGAGAAAAGAGTGATAGAAATTCAAACCGAAGGTGGCAGCATATGGGAGAGGGGGCATTGGGATGCTGGGGGAACACGTAGACGTCTCTGTTACAAGGACTTTAGGGGCCAAAAATAAAGTGCTGAGAGGGGGATGGGAGAGGTGCTGGGATTCTGGGGAGTTGTTTGGGAAGTTCCAAAACCCTGGTCATGAGGAGGCCAAAGAGGACAGTCGAGGGCATCAGGACAATGTCACCGCAGCAGGCCTGAGACTGTGGTCCCAGAAAGGCCAGCTTCCAAGGCTGGCCCTGGGCTGACGTCTGGGAACGTGGATGTCGGGAGGGTCCCCCCACTCCCAGAACTGATCGGAGTGGCTCCCTGTGCCTGAACTGTTGCACACACAGGGTGATTTGGGGCTGACCCCCTGCTTTCCTCCTGGGAGTCTGGGATTTTGCTTCATGCCTGGCAGAGGGTGCCCACATGGCCAGCCCCCAATATAACCCTGGGCGCTGAGCCCCTACTGAGCTTCCCGGGTGGACAGCACTTCACACGTGCTGGCACGGCCCATTGCTGGGGGAGGGCAGCATGTCCTGGGGTGCTCCACTGGGAGGGGATGCTGGGAGCTGGTGCCTGGTTGCCCCAGACTTCACCCCAACCTGTTCCCTGTGCTGATCTTGCTTTATCCGCCAACCACACCCCTGGAAGGTGGATGAAGGGCATCCAGGTACGAATAGTGAGGAAGGGAACATGCTCTTTTTTTCCTAACAGACTAACCTCCTTGCCTTCCTGAAGCTTTTTAAATTCTAGGACTTGTGTGTGTTTTTTAATTCTCACCCGAGGATGTTTTTCCATTGATTTTTTTAGAGAGTGGAAGAGAGAGGGAAAGACAGGGAGAGAAACATCAGTGTAAGAGAAACACATGGATTGGTTGCCTCCTGCAGGAGCCCTCACCAGGGCCCAGGCCAGGGAGGAGCTTGCAACCGAGGTATGTGCCCTTGACTGGAATTGAACCCGGGACCCTTTGGTCCGCAGGCCTATGCTTTATCTGCTGAGCCAAACTGGCTAGAGCAAGCATTTATTTTTAAAGTCACATATATTACAGTTAATTTCTATCACTGTTGCTAGCATTTTATGCAGAATAAACATTTTTGCTAGGGCTCTAGTACATTGTTTTAAAATATGTTTTTATTGATTTTTAGGGAGAGGGAGAGAGAGATAGAAACATCACCCATCAGCTGCCTCCTGCACACCTTCTACTGGGGATTGAGCCCGAAACCCAGCCATGTGCCCTGACTGAGACTTGAACCAGTGACCTCTTGGTTCATGGGTCGACGCTCAACCACTGAGCCACACCAGCCGGGTTGGAACATTGCTCTTAAAAATCCAGCCGCTCATGGGCCAACTAGAGACCACATACAAGTGAATTCCTGAGTTACCACAGGAATAGGTAAAACCAATAAATAAGTAAAACAACTCATGCTATGCTTTTTTATGGGACTTCCAAAATTACTGGGTTCTAAGTGTAAGCTCTACTGATTAAAAGAAAAAAAATCAGGACTCAGTTTTCCTCTTTGTTGTGGGTTGAATTGTGTTTCCTGAAAAGATATATTGAAGTCCTGACTCCTGGCACCTGTGAATGTGACCTTATTTTGGAATAGGGTCTTTGCAGATGTAATCCAGTCAAGAGGAGGTCAGACTGGATTAGAATGGCCCTAAATCCAATGACGGGTGCTCTACGAAGGAGAGGGTAGTTTTGACACAGACACAAGGAGAAGGCCGTGTGATGATGGAGACAGAGGTTTGAGTAATGCATCTACAAGCCAAGAAAAACAAGGATTGCAGCAGCCACCAGAAGATTTAAAATAAAATTTAAAAAAAACAGCAAGGAAGGATCCTCCCTTCGAGCCTCCGGAGGGAGCAGGGCCCTGCCCTCAGCCTTCTGGCCTCCAGAACTGAGAGAACACGTGTCTGTCTTAAGCCATGCGGTCTGTATCACTTTGTCACTACAGCCCTAGGAAGCTTGTAACCGACCAAGTTGGTGTGTAGAGTGTGTACGTGGAATGCCTCTTGCTTCATCCAATGTAAGATCGAAAGCTTTATGCACACTGGAGGTATTTCAAAGAGACTCCATGCAACTTTTCACTCTGTGTAGAAGGGAACCAGTCGACTTTAGCAAACTGAGTGGCACGAGTCACAGTTTTAAAATCAAACCTGGCCGGTTTGGCTCAGTGGGTAGAGCGTCGGCCTAGAAGGGAACCAGTCGACTTTAGCAAACTGAATGGCACGAGTCACAGTTTTAAAATCAAACCTGGCCAGTTTGGCTCAGTGGATAGAGCATCAGCCACCGGACTGAAGGGTCCCAGGTTCAATTCGGGTCAAGGGCACATGCAAGCTCGATCCCCAGTAGGGGGCATGCAGGAGGCAGCCGATCAATGATTCTCTCTCATCATTGATGTTTCTATCTCTCTCTCCTTCTCTCTTCCTCTCTGAAAGCAATGAAAATATATTTAATAAAAAAGTAAATTAAATAAAATCAATCCTGGGAGCACGCCAACTATCAATCAGTCACTTCTGCCCTGGAGAGGACCTTGCAAAGGCAGGCTGACTCAAGTCGGGTCTGAATGGGTGGTGACAGGACATCCTTCCCTGACAGGTGGGTGTGTTCTCGGTCCTCAGAGGCTGGGGACAAGAGGGGGCTGCAGAGCTCTGTGTCTGCAGAGCGACGGGGACCAGGCTTCCTGCCATCAGGAGGGAGTAACCACACCGGGCTGCTCACGCATGGGGGAAAAGTTAAAAATTCTGTGTGTTGGAATTAAAAGAAAAAAGACTTTACCACCAAAGCTGGGGTGATTCCAAGTTCAAAGGCACACTTTGGAATCTTGATACCACAGAGAGGGTTTTAAGTCACATGCATGCCCAGGAGTGCCAAAAAGCACAGGCAAGCTGGCGCTGAGGACACGTGGAGGGCACATGCTCAAGTGGGTGGATGATTCACAGCTCAATTTGGGGGCATGTGTGACAACTATTCAGACCAGGGATTGCCCTAACTGTTATCATGGGGAAGAATTCAGAACCCAGAGGCCCTGCGGGGACACCACGTGAGGACACCAGGTCTCCCCAGTGGTTCTGGATTATCCAACAGGCAGGAGATGCTGCTGGGTGTACATCCAGGTGTTAACCTTTACCTGGCTGTGGCCCATCTCCTGGGCCCTGTGGGGGTTCAGGGAGCACTGCAGGACCACTGAAGCTCCTAGTAGCTTCCCACACTTCAAAGGCGGCAGAGTAGAGGCTGCCCGCCCTCTCTCCCTGGGGATCCTGTGGGATCGGGATGAGGAATCGAGTCCCTGGCTCTGCCCTGACCAGCGTGTGAACATGGCTCATGGTCTCTGGGGTCTACCCTCAAGGCGGCTGGAGGTGAGCGTGCCTGCCCCGGCTGGGGAACATCTAGCAATGGATTTAGACACAGAATGCCTCTGGGGGAGAATGGCAAGTCTTGCCCCTGGGAATTAGGACTATTTCTTGCTCCTCACCGCCCTGGGCTCTAATCTGGACTCTGAAGTTGTTAAGAATTGTCCCTGAGTCACATATGCAGGGAGCTTTGGGGTTTGACTTCCCTCGAATTTGATTGTCCCTGTGGTCACTCCGGGTTTTAGAAGTGGGCCGTGTGGCTGTGGCTGCCTATTTGCAGGCCAGAATGGGGGGAGGGCACACGGCCACCACTCTGACTGCATCCAGATCCTTCCATGCAGCAGGCAGACCTGAGTAAGTGCTCCTCCGAACCACGTGGTCCCAGTCAGGGTCCCTGGGAGCCCCATGTGAAAGGCCAGCACGTGTGCTTCCCAGGGCACCTCCGTGTGTGACCCCTGTGGCTGCAGAGCTAAGGGGACCAGCACCAGTGTCCACCTTCTGGAGTTGGGGTGTGGTGAGGTGTCCTGTGTGGGGAAGGAGAGAGGCAGAGCAGGGGAGGGAGCAGGTCCTGAGAGGGGCCTTCAAAGAGAAGGTGGACTGAGCAACCTTTAAGCACCAACTAGTGAGAGGGAGTCTATGCATTTTGTCCCATTGGATCCTCCCAGCGACCCTCTGCCAACTTGAGGCAGGCTGAGTGGTTGATGGCTTGCCCAGTGGCTACAGCATCCAGCTCAGGTCGGGCAGCCCTGGACCCCCAACTTCCCTTCCGAGAGCCGACACTCACAGGCCAGACTGGCTCGCACCTGTGTCCCCATGCGGCTGGGCCAGCGCTGACACACACAGCCACATTCCCAGCTGCTGAGCCAGCCACAGAAGAGGGACCACAGTGGCCAGGCTTCCAGCTGGTGGGGCAGCGGCGGCCCTGGGAACGGCGGGCTAATGGGGAACTGAAAAACAGCAGCCCGGCCCAGCTGGATGAAGAGCCAGTTCCCAGGGACTTGGCCTGGGACAAGGTCAAAACCACACTGGTGTTTATGTTTGTTCATCCATCGTTTCTGGACCACCGTCTGCCTTCTTTGGTATCGGTGCACCCACCTGCCTGTCCTGGCCAACAGCAAATGGTTTCATCCTTATGAACCAACCTGATGGAACCAGGGTTTGCCGGCACCGAGATGGAAACTGAGCCCACTGGCAGGGATGTAGTCAGAGAGGGCAGAGGGGCCTGGGAACCTAGCTGGGAACTGTGCTTGGAACGAATCCAGCAGTCTCACTCCTCCCTCCGCACCCTCTGAGTCTCACGCAGATGCCCTGAGCGCTGAGCCCAAGGCCGCACCTGTGCTGCCCCGTGCACACACCCAGATTCGCCTGGCTGCCCTGCCGTGGGTGCCAGCACCTGAGCTGTTCGTGAAATAACATTTCCCCCCTCTCTTCTGGAACTTTCATCAATGCCCACCCCTCAATAACTGAGGCGCCATCTCCCACCTGGTTCTCAGTGTGCACTCACACAGCGCCAACAGCTTCCTGATGTCACCACGCGTTTCTGGATCCGCTCCAGTCGTGATTCTTTACTGCAAACAACAGGGTGGGGATGGGTCCTCTTGGTCAAGAGCAGAGTTCGTGGGCAATGTCTGAGCTCTCTTTCCCATGCAGACGATGACTTTGCCTCCCCCACCCGATGTTGGATTTCATTTATTTTTACGTCTATTCTCTAGGGAGTCACCCCCATTCCCTGCCCGGGAAGCCCCATGTGAACAGGGCTCAGTGGCCTCTGAGCATCAGAGAGCAGGACAGCCTGCCTGCCGCCGTCTGGGAGAGGACCGGGGCTGTGTTAGACACGAATGCCTGCGTCCAGCCTGGACTTAGTCACTGTCACCTGGTGAGTCACCCCAGTGGCTCTGGGACTGAGCTGTGACACTGGGGGACCAAGGACTCACCGCCCTGGGCTCTAAGATTTATGATTCTAACTCGCATAACCACCATGGCCATTTCCTCCTGAGCCCGAGGGCTGCTGAGGACCCGGAAGCACTTCCACTTCGAGAGCCAAGAACCCTTCCCCACAGATGGCGGCGGAGATGTGGGTGAATCCACACAAGTCCCTTCCGGCGTTTCTACTGCCTAATGTCAACGTGCTTTCTCATAATTTGGCTCTTTTTCTGAAAGACAGAATATGTTTAATTCTCTTATTTGGAGTTTTAGTTCATTAGGAATTTTCAGAACAATATTCTCTCCTACTTTTCAAAGTAATTTGGACTCTGAAGTTGAATAAAACATTTTTTACTTTGTCTTATTTCATTCTGAGAGTTTGAATAGAAATTCAACTGATCTCAAAAGCTAGGGACCTATTTTGCAAATAACTTCTTCTGTGTAACCTCCTATTGTTGCTGTCAGTGGCCTTTAGCCTGCTTTTAATCGCAACTTTGAAATCAACTTTAAAGCTGCAAGCTTTACAAGCATTTGATTCTCCCAACAATTCCAAGGTGGTGGTTATGACTCCCGTGTGACGAGAGCCCAAAGACAAGAGCTGAGGCCCAGACTGTGTCTTGCAAACCCTCCCTGGCTGGACTCGCGTCGCACACCCTGCTCACGTTGCTTCCAAAGCCTGGTCTTTGACAGCAACGTGCCATTTCGTAGTGGCCTCAAACCTCTCGCTCTGCAGAGCAGTGGTTCTCTGCTGTGTGACCCACTTTTTAATATTCAAATCTTGCACAGCTCACTGAAAAACATGAAAAGACTCAACACCATAGTCAACAAGATTGCAACAATGCAACCAGACTCCAGAGCCCAGCAGGTCCCTGGGGGGCATGAGTGGCCCGAAGCTGTCACCATGGCCACATGCGGCCCTGACTGTGGCCTCCTGTTTGCCTTGTGTCCTTGGGCACAACAGGATTTGTTGGCTTCAAGAGACACCTTTGAAACTTCCCTAAGGACCCTTGGTTATGCCTTCCATGGGGCAGAGGGTAATTTCCCCCCAAGCACAGTGAGAGTGACCTGCAGCCCAGCCCATCAGGTTTCCAGACCAACAGGAACAGTCTTTCCAACTCCATATTCACTGACGCCATGTTGGTCGCTTGCCATTGGCCATGGTGGGAGCATTTACACCACGGTAATGGGTGAGCACTAGGACATCAGGGCTTCCCCCCAGCCAGCAAGCTGCTGACATCTACCAGTGGCCCGCCAGAAAAAAGGAGCCCAGAACAAGCCCTGGGCTCTGTTCTTCTCCTTGGTCAAATGCAAGGTTAGACTAGATGAGCTCCAAAAACCTTTCTGGCTTCTGACCCAATATTCTTTATAGCATGGCAAAAGGGTGCTCAGAGGCAGACCCAGAAGCCCAGAGCTGCTGCCCTGCCCTCCCTCTTCTCCCTGCCACGTCACCACCCCCACGTGTGCAGGAGCTAAGAGCTGCTTAATGTCTGCAGGGCTGTTTGACAGGCGCGATGAGACAGAGGAACTCAGCCTGCCGTGACTTTCCTGGCTGAGTACTTATCTTCTCTTCATTATTTATAAGCGGCATCCTACCCTCCAGAAAGGTTGGAGGGGTTCTGGCAAGGAGCTTCCCCATCCTGATACCCCGACAAGCAGCACCTGCCACTGCAGAGGAGAATCTGGAATGTGGACCAGTGGGGGTGGGGTGCTGGAGACCAGGTGGCCCTCTCCAGGAGGCCTGAGGGGTGACCTTTGTTCCCTTGTCCCATTAATCCTGCCATTCTCAAAGATGTAGAACAATTGCAGACCCCCACTTGCTTAGACTAGCCCAGCAAACCAGGATGCTGCGTATTGATCGGTACTGAAAAGTCTGCCCGTCAGGGGACCGGAATACGCTTGTCAACCTTACCTGCGTATTCTCTCCCTCAGATGGATCTGCATGGGAAGCCGAGTCATAAACAGGCAGTGTCTTGGCAGGCTCCGGGCCAGACAGCAGGGCTGCATGAAGCAGATGCTCAACAGCCCCGGCTCAGAGGTCTGGGTCATCCATCCTGCAGTGGACGGGCGTCCTGGTGGAACATTGTGGGGCAGAGCTGACACCCTCTGCCCCGGGCACTGCCTGGAGGGACAGTGGCCTCTGGGACTCTCCCTTCCCCGAGTGTCCACAGCCTCCCTCCACTGTGGAAGCCGATCTTCCTTCTGCTATGCCAACACGCTTCGTGGGGCCCGTCAGTCCGTGCGGGTGGGGAAACCACATCTGACTTTCTGCCGGCATATCTCTGCTTCGGTCCAATATGCCAGATGGCCATGCCAGTCCCGGTCAAGGCTGCCCGGCTTCCAATCCTGCCTCTTCCACTTGCCAGCTGTGGATGTGGGCTGGGTCACAGACCACTGCCCACCTCTGTTTGCTCAGCTGTGGAGTGCAGAGGCTGGAGGATTGCTTGAGATGCTACCTGGAGGGCTCTTCGGACAGCGCCTGCCTGGCGCAGTGATCGCACAACGGAAAGGTTAATGATTACCATGTGCGGGGTTCGGGGCTTGACTCTGAGGTCAAAGTTTTTTCCTCTCTCTTCCAAGCTTTTGGGGAATTCCTCATTGGACCAGAAAATTCTCAGCTCTCTGTTCTTGGAAGTACACTGGAGTGCAAAAGCTGT